GTCCGACACCCTGTGTATGCATATATCGTTAATATATCACGACCGTGCGGTAATTAACTGTCGTGTGAGCGCGCGAGAGTACGTGCGTATTTTTAAGCGGGCGACTTTTCGTAGCCACCCTTTCGGGGCGTGAAACGCAAAAACGCTTCCTTGCGAGGGGGCTGTTGTACGCGCATCGACCGACGGAGACGAGACGGTAACAATATTGGTACAATCGCGTTTTCGCGCTTTGTCGTGGCTCGTTCGCGGACAAAGTCGCCGTTCTCCGCGGCCCCTATTCATAGTCGATGAGCTTGTCAACGGATAATGAAGACACCTCTCGGTGAGAGGACTTGTACGTGTCTGCCCGCGTACCTGCATGCGAGCGTGCGTGCGTAGGTAGGTTTAACTCAGCGTCCTTAATGCCAGCCACGTTTTCCTCTTTACTACAACACCGCAGAACGCTCGATCCCTCGCAATCAGATGTATGCGCGGTACCTATACCGTTATTACTCGTGGCAGGCAGGCCACTGAAACGTTCAATTATCAACGCTGCCTGCATCACGGGCCATTGTGGGGGCCTTATTCGATTCGTGCGCTGAAAACAGGCTGCCTCGAAAAGTTGCCCTGAATGAACGTCAAACGATGTTTCGAGTCATGAATGTCAGGTGCTCGCGTCACGAGGAGAGAAGTCCTCGTCCTCCTCGCGTCGTCCTCGTCGTTTTTTTTCTTCTCTTTCTCTCTGCCTGTCTTCTTTTTTTTACACACACACACACACACACTTTCTCTCTCTCTCTCTCTCTCTCTTTCTCTTTCTCGCCGGGTCCCCACCCAGTCTCGCGTCTCTGGCATGACTGGGACTTATGGACGAACGTTCACCGGAGGGACCCACGCATGGGTCGCTAATCAGGTCCTTCGCCGAGCATCGACAGCAGCAGCTCCCTCTTCCTTTATGCCCACTGTGTATTTTGACGGGCCGAAAAATGACGGACCAATTATGCGGCAACGTGGCCGCGGATTCTGACGCCTGAATACGCCGCATACCTCTTACAGTCATTATGCTCGAATCGAGCGGTGGTGTTGGCGGTCGGTGGTAGTGGTGAGGGCCGGTCGACTGGTCGCGCTCTGAAGGCTAACGAGCGATAAATCGCGCGGGCCCTTCTTGGGAAGGCCGTGTCGTCGACTACTCGATAGAGAAACGACCGGGCTGTAACGACATGAAAGGGACATCGCTGCTACTGTTAATAATAACTTGCGAGGCGAGATTAATTTGCAAATGTTAATAACGTCACGCTGCGTTAAGCGCGAATCTTGTCGTTTAACGTGGCTCAATATTGTCGAACGCGATAGCACTTTACGTATTCGAGCCTCGTATTAATAGTCGTGACTTGAGACTCTTCACACGTGGGATACTCGGATCTGAGTTTAGAGATGGTTACGCGATTTTCTCAACTGTGAATCGTGACTACAGATACGACGTGATAGTAACGTGTATCGTACAATTCAAATTCAATTGAGCTTTGTCAAAATCTAAATTGAGATCTCACGTGAGACCAGTTTCAGGTAATGAATATTAGCATGGGCTTAAGTATTTCTCTCTCTCTCTCTCTCTCTCCCTCTCTCTCCCTCACAGGTGAGACAAGTTTCAAGTCACGACTAATAATACGAGCCTAAGACGTTCGGATATATTATATATAAATGACTTGATGTGTTTGATACATTAAATTAATTACGATACAGCGCGCGATTGAAAACAATTTTCCCATCAACTGGTTCCATCCCATTGCTGGATTCAAGCGTATAACGATCGCACAATGCGCAAATGTACATAAAATTTATTTCTCAAACGTATGGGTATTTCATTAATCGTCGAATAAGCGCTATTAGTTAATTAAAGCGCTTCTTACGAACTGGACTGTCGCGATAGCGTTCGCTATCGACGCGCTCGTAACACAGGTTTAAGGTGGCAGTAAACGGAACATGTAGCCGTCTCCGATGTTTCTGTTCCCTCGCTCACCAATCTACTCCATTCTCCTTCGCTGGCGCAGGCTCTCGGGAAAGTTAGGCGAATGAAAAAAGTTGGCGCAAACCCTCAAGAGAGCGCTGAGTAGTTAGCGGACTTCGGAATAATCTTCATTGAAAAAGTTCGTCTAAACCTTAGAACGCCGCGGCTTGTATGCCCAACTCGATATGAAGAGCTACAGGGAATAAGATATTTTAGCTTAAAGTCGCGATAACGCGCCGACTCGAGTCAGCTGCAATTAAAGAGACTTAAGCTCTCCACCTAGTTAAAGGGAAATCAGTGAAGACGTTTCTCCTTTTTTTTTTAGCTTTTCTTATTTGTCCCCTCCTCGCGTTTAATTCGAATCTCCGTTGTGGCTGAAGCACCACTTCCATAAGCTATCTTCTCTCAAAGTCCCGGCGTTGTAGCACGAAACGCAGAATCCGCGAGTTCTTCTTTCCGTGATCTGTAGTCGAGTTTTGAGAAGGCTCGTTTCGGAAGGGATTTCCTCGGTTAAATTTAGGCCTGTCGTCTAGATTGGAGAGAGCGCGAGGGCGAGATACGCGCTCCCATAGTCTCCGAAGGAGAACCTCTCCGGGAAGGAGAGCCTCTCCGCTGCCGTCGGCGAGAACAAAGGCAGGTGCCGTTTCGCTCGTAAACTCACAATCCCGAGCAAACAAATGTGTGTCTTCCGTTGTACCGCTGAGTCGACGTGCAATAACGATATATATTCGCGTCTGCTCGTCAAACAGGGGATTCCTTTCACGCCGTCTCGCGCTGCTCGTCCGGCGCGCACGGGGTGCGATCCGTCAGACGCGGAAGTGCTACGGTAAGCCGGCTACGGGGGGAAAAACAGGGCCTTGCCGTACCTACCGAGAAGAAGCTTGTTCGCGACGACGGGCGTGCAAACTTACGATATTTAATAATTCGGTCGACGCCACGAACATCTGCCGCGCTCTCTCAGTAACCCTTTGCTCTCGCTTCCCCTCGTCTTATTCTGGTCCGCTTCTTCCCCCCTCCCTCCACCTGCCTGCCTTTACCCAACGCTATTGTTTAATTAATCATGTTGTATTAATAAAGCTCGCCTAATTGAATTCGCTGATTTCACATCGTTAATACGAGTTTCATTTAAATTGAACGAAACGTCGCGGCTGTTACTCTCTCCTTCTCCTCTCCCTCCTCGCCTCCTACTCCGCCATCCAGCTTTCGCGCGCCGCACACCATTCATCCACCCTTCTTTCGTTGTGTCCTCCTTCCCCTCCGCTTCCTACCCGTCAAACGTGCACCGTCGCTGTAAAAGCGGAGCCACCCTCAAATTGTTCTTTTTCTCTCTCTCGCTGTGTTTTATTGATCTTCACTTCCTACGGTTGCGGGGGTTCTAAAACGATTTACTGAAAGGATAATTCCCCGATTCCTCATCAGTCAGCGAGCGTGACGCGACGAAGGACTCTCGTACCTTCCGTGCGTTTCTCGCTATCGATCGCGTACCGATGCATGCTGTTCGGTGTAGTCGTTTTGTAAACCGTGACGCGACAGCGAAAATAACGGGCTGTCGGTATCGGTACAAATCTGCGGGGCGATGTGAGTGGCTACCTCTGCGTGAACTCTACGCGAACACCACAGCCATGTCCGTGCCGACGAATGTCGCGTACGTGATTAGGGTAAATTGTTGGACGCGAAGTGGAGGTGAGCGAGCGTAGATCGGCGCGCGATACTTTCCCTGGTCTCATGACGTTAAGGCACGTTAGGGGGTGAACGATGAGCACGAGAACACAGAACGACGACGGGACAGATCCGCAGGCCTCGACTCCAGCCGGCGGAATATGTGTGCTGGTGGACATTTACGGCACTTGCCATCAGAGCGCGCCAGGTCAGCCTGGGTGAGCTTCCAAGATCCATATAGGTGCCGTTCAACTGCGTTCCTGCCCCAGCAGCTTGCCAACTTATGGGAGGAGCGAACGCGAAGGCCGTACCTCGAACTCCGCCTCCAACGAGTTCTTGTCTTGCTGCAGGAGGCGCTGGTGTGCTCACCCACGCCACAATCCACGTTCCGCCAGGCACGAGCGGCTGCCTGCCACGGACACGCGTAGATGTTGTCTTCACGTAGAGGCACACCTTCATGCCTTCCGGGTCTGATACGGTTCAAGCGCCGAAACAATGATTCGAGAGGTTCGCGCAAGAGAGGGAACGAAGGAGTGTTTCGGAAAGCCATATCTTTTGATGCAACTTACCGTTTCGATGCCGCTAAAGATGTGTCAAATTGAACGTGGGACTTGGTCCTACTTGGGGGGAGAGGAAGGGAACTCAAGACTTTCCAAGATGTCCGTAGCTTTCCTTTTTATGCGCGAATTCGTTATATTCGACGAAGATATATTGGACGAATATATCAGTCGTCATCTCAAGTATGCGACATACGTGTGCGATTTCTCTGACATTCGACCAGATATACCCGATATAGACTATCTCCCGCACAAGGGAGGGTTGCAAATATTGGCAAGACCGCGGCCGCGCGCTGTTGTCCGGTGCCGCTCCTTTATTTCCGGGCCGTGCCTTTTCACATCGTGTTGTCTGGTTTTTCCAAGTTGTCCGAGGGTCGGCCGCCAAGTTTATTCAGTCGCCAAACTTTGTAGTACACCGTGTCGAGCGCCAGAGGGCAGTAGCCCGACGGACTAGAGGTGGGAACCGGAACTGAACGCCTGGCTCCGGACATAACCGTCTCTCTCTCTTTCTCTCTCTCCCACCTCCCTCCGCCACCGACCTTCTCGCCTCCACCTCCGCCTTCGACCGTGCTCGCGCGCACACATACACGAGTCGCGCTTTGTCCGGTCTCTCGGACGCAATTAGGGTGGGTCTCGGCCTTCAACCCCCTTGGGGGTGCCCCTTCGCTAAGTAGAAAAGCGTGTATCCACCTCCGACCTCGAAAGGCGGTGGGGTTTGTGTCTGGCTGGAACGGACCCCCGGACGGACGGATGGACTGGACTGACAGCAGCTGACTACCAGTTCAGCCAACCTACTCCATCTACAAGCTCCGGCTACTCTCCCCCGTGTCGTCCAGTCCCGTTTCCTGGATTCAGTTCTTGGCTGCCTCGGAACGGCCCTAAGATAAACATTTCGTTAGTACGCCTGTATCTTTTATGGGGCGCGCGGGTACCCTTCGTCCTCCTATCTTTCCTGCCCAATAACTTATATTGTGTAGCGAACGTTGAAAAATGGCATCATCATTCGTGCATGATAGATAGGAAAGTACAAATCACATACATAATTGCAATTCACGTTCCGATCCAATTCCGAGATTCAAAGAGTAGCGATTAAACCGTCCTAAAAATCGACCGCATTACTTGACAAGAAGCGTTGGTTCTGCGAGGAGGATAGGGGTAATTTTTTAAACCGGACCGGTTCCACCAGCGTGTGAGCCCCGCGAGACGTTCTGGGGGTATAACCGGGCGGATTTATCGCGAGATCTCGATGCAAGATGGCAATTGAGCACTGACACAGTCTCGTCTAAACCAAACGTGTAAATGGAGGTAATTCTCGCTCGTCATTCCCCTACCCTGCCTGTTAGCAGACAAACTACGAGGGAGCTCTAATATTACGCGAGTACGTACATACTATTACATATCCTGCCAGCAATGCCCGGGCAGCCGCGATACGGTCGGTTGGTAGAATATCCTTTGGAACACCCCACAAGGGGCTCGTTTGTCTAACTACCCCTTCCACCCTCCGTGGCAGCGTTCCACGAGCACGTGGTTATGCCCACTTCGTCATCGAGCAGGGAACGCACGAATAGAAGTGAGGGAGGGGGTGTATCCTGTGCTTCGAGAGACCGCACAAGCCATTCCTCTACGCTATCCCATCGCCGCCACACACTACTACCACCACCTACACCACCATCACCACCTCCACCGCCGCCACCATCACTACCACCGCCGTCGTCACCGCCACCGCCACCACCGCTACTCGGCATCGTCGACTCTATCTTCTCGGGCGCGTGTTCCCGGTGGCCCATTCGCCCCTAAATTGTGAATAATGTTGATTATGTAAAAAGACTTTACGAGACGTTATTACCGTCATTGCGATTACGATGTTATACGAGTCGCAGGGCGCGCGTGGCCCCGCGGCGCTCGTAACCCTCGAGCAGAGCCACCACATCGCCCGAACACCTTTTCTCTCGCCTGGCCGCCGCGACGCCTCTCGCCGCACGTATTACTTGTAATTCACCTACGTTAGCCCCTGCGGTTACGAATGTCGTGCGACGAGAAGCGCACCAGGGCCCAGGAGGGGGTGGCAAGGGAAAATACGCTCGCGGAAATTGTCGATAAAACCGTCCCCACGCCACGGTGCGTCGCGGATCGAACGCTGGAAAAGGTATCGTATACCACAAGTATATCGAACCTCTCGTTGATGTGTTCGATGAAAAAGTTGGCAACTAGCGTCGCGAATGGCGACATTATTCAATAGAGAGGCAGTTCTACTCTAACGTGATTCTACTTGCGTATTATGATTCAAACTTGACATGTATTTCAACATTTTCCCAAAAGACAACATCCTCGTTGGAACCGGTCATTGTCGGTCCGGTCGACGCGACGCGACACGTTCGCCGGCTAATGAAGAGAGCGTGGTAGTATCACTACCGGGCAAAGGGGTGGCGGAAAGAATAGAGCAGGGGCGGCGAAGGAGGGAGGAGGACGCTGCGCTGCGACACACTGCTGCAGAGAAAGAGAGAGAGAGAGTGCGATCGACGAAAGTCTGCGGGGAGGAAAGAGGCGCGGCGGTTTGGTACGGCACTGTGCGGGGGTGTAGCGCGGCGAACGATGATGCGCCGACGAGATAGGGGTAGATTGCAGGCCCGCCGCGTGTCCCGTTGGTACGCGTTTGGTATCCGTTGGTATCCGCGCGCCTGGCCAGAGCTGATACGGTCAGCCCCGGGATAAAGTAGATATTAACACGAGATGATCCGTTAATGAAGCGTATGTTCTACGCCGCGCGCACGCCTAGCTTTCTCTCTCACTCCCGCCCTCTCTGTCCGTCCCTCCCGTGCCCGCTCCTCTTCTCGTTCATATTCTGTCTCGTTTCCGGTGCCTCGGACTGCCTCGTCGGACGTTCTCTTTCTCCCTGTCTCTCTTTCTCTCTCTTGCGCGCGCGCGTAGAGCTGCAAAATACATACCATACCTACCGCCTATTACCAGCAGCCTTTCCTGTTATCTTATCCGGACACCGCCGGCCCGGTCGCGAATTATTATTAACCTGCATGCACGTTGTGTCCCACCTCTGTGCTCTCCACTTCCTCTCATCCTCCCCCTGGCTCTCGTCAACCCGCCGCCAACCCCGTCGCATTTCCATCCGCTATAACGAAACAAGTCGCGACGCGACGCGGCACTTGCAAGTTCGGTGAATTGGCGCACCCGTGGATGATGGTCGCGTATTATTATTCAGAAATTACGTTACACGTTTTCACTTTAATAACGGCGATTGACTCGCATTTAAGTCATTATCGAGGAGTCTCCGATTGCAACCGTCGCGGTTCTCTATTGTGTTGCCGATACGGCGTAATTTGATCTGTTTAATTAGGATGCACCATTCGTAGCGCGAAATTCGTGTTCTTTGCCGATTAACGTATGATAGTCTTGTAACTTTAATGAGATGTTGATTACATTTTTTTGGCTTCACTGCTTTCGACACTATTTTCAACGACGTTCGAGTGTCGCGTGTCAATTGTTTCTACATGTGTCTGACACGTGTGGTCGCCGAAAAAACTTTTGTCCCATGAATCACGTACCTTGATCGATTACTCCAACCAAGTACTGTCGTTTCTATTTCTTTTCTGTTAAAATACATGCGTTTCTATCTGTAACGCGTGTATATCGTCGATTGTCCGCGTTGACATCTATCGCAAAATCGAGTTAGAAGTCACGGGAAACAATAAATGGTTTTTGTTCGAGCACGGCCTTGGGTCATTGGGATATTTGCGTGTAAGCGGATAACGACGTGCATAAACGAGTCATCGAACACTGGACTCATTCACAGCTGTCCTCGTTATTGACCACCCACGACATCGATCGGTCGGATGTTCGGGCTATCTGTATCGGGGAATTGGACAACGATTTCGAAACGCACTCGGTCGAATATATAGCGGAGTAGGAAGGGAACGTGTATGTGTATCTCTGTGTGTTTCTGCAGCTACTGAATTTCATTTAACATTCTCGGATGCGCTAAAAATATTCGTGTGCTCGTGAAAGATCACTGACATTCAAGAGAGTTGGTTTGATCATTATTCCAATTTTAGTTCTCGGATTTCTTTTTTGAGCAACCCGAATTACTTACAGAGATTGATATCTTTGGGTTTTTATTCAAGAATTTTCCAAAGAACAAGTAAAATCTACTTTTCTTCTTTAAGAGAATTAATTAAATCTTTGATGAAATTAACACCACCATATTATATCAATAGTTCAAGTATCTTGAATGAACATCTGATACTTATAAATATACCTGAAAATGGTGCTAATGATATGCCCGAGATTGCTGGTCCTGAATGGAACCTTTCGGGAATAAATATGTCCGGTCGTTCGATATGGTGTGAGAGATTCGCGCAATTGTCGCGAAAAGCCGGAAACAATATATCCATTCGTCGATTATTTTGCTCTGTACTGATAAAACTGCAGTCCTTGAGCTCACGGCGCGCAGCGACGATGTGTGCGAATAAAAATGAAAATGCAAATCTCGCGACTTGAACTCTCGGCGAGAAAGGTTAAAGAACGGGTTCGGACGTAATTTTCAAGCACGATATCATAGCTGGGCATCTCGGATGGCGCCAAGGCCGTGGTTAACGAGGATCTCGTCTGGTCATTCAGTCGGATCCCCCTCGACGATTCGGTACGTACCTGCCGGCTCACCTGAGAACAACCGCGCATTGAAACCTCGCTTGTGGAACACAGCGGCAACGCGTGCTGCACAAACCGTACGTTTGGTCCTCTTCACTAACCACCGGACGACCACCGTGCTGCGCTTTTTTCTCGTTCTCTTTTTCCCCCATCACCCACTAGGCAGTAAAGTAAGAGAGCGGTTTAAGATCGTGCGAGTTTTACGAGAAACGCCGGAAAAGGGAAGAACAGGCAGGTTAAAGGATGATGATAGGAGAGAAGGTGTAGTGATGAGTACAGATCGCGAAATTTCGATTTGTGAGAGCAAGATTGCCGGGAAGAGAGGAGAAGACAGGGGGAAAAGAGAGAGGGAGAGGCGGACAAGAGTCAGTAAACCCGAACAAACCATTCACACGAGCCCTGCGGGCCGTCGGAGTACCTGGAAACGGTGCTAATGATATGCCCGAGATCGCTGGTCCTGAATGGAACCTTTCGGGAATTCTCCAACGGTTTCGAAGAATTAGGAATTCCGAGGACGGGTTCTGATCTCTCCTCTCTTCTCCTTTCTCCTCCTCTCCAGTCTCCCCCTTTCTATCGTTCATTCTTTCTTTCTGTCTTTCGCGAAGCGGTTCCAGAGCTGACTCCATAAAGAGGTTGTTTGTGGCGGCAAAGAGGCGGGTGAAGCGCTTTGTGAGACGCTTCTCGCTTCTCTCCCTAATCTTTCACACTCCCGTCTCTTTCTCTCCCTTTTGGCGCCCCCCTCGCACTAACCTCCGCCCCCTCGCGCTCTCCTTCTATATCTCGCGTTCGTCTCTGTTCCTCTCTTTGCTATGCGCCGCTACCACTGCGGGCTGAGATTTATAAGCGCGAACGAGTCTTTTAGGGACGCGCCAGCGGTTCATCCTCGAATGGGAACAATTTGGCGGATAAGGATGCGCCAGCGCAAAAGCCGCACTCAGAAGGAGACATTCAATGGAGGGAAGGAGGAAAAAAAGATAGAAAGAGAGAGAGAGAGAGAGAGAGAGAAAGAGGAGTCGGTCATGGAGAATCGCGGAGAAAAATCCGTCTGCGAGATTGTGCATCCGACCGTCAATGAGATGTCGCGTCATGAAACGTGCGCGCAATCGCGCTATTTTATTCCGCGGATGATATATCGTTGTAAGCGAGGGCGCGGTGTGCAATCGATAAAATCGAGCGGAGATAATTCGACACTCGAGATCGCCTGAAATTGCTCGAAATT